TGCGGGAGGGAGAACTGAGAGAACTGCTCTCCTCGGTTGATGATTTGTTTAGAATATATGTAATCCAACTGAGGTCCAGACCGAGCAACCTACCGCGCTGTTAAAGGAGCCAGCACACCTCTAACCGGAAACAGCCGACATTCCACCGAAATTCCATGGCAGTTAACTATAAAAAAAGACTAATAAAAAAAATAAATAAGAAATAAAATACCAAAAAAATATATAAGAAGTGCGCGCCATTGCCCATGGATGCTTTCATTTATTATGTGCCTGAAGATGTTTCTTATTATGAAATTAGACTGGACAGGGGTTGGACAGGAGACAGGGCAGACACAACGACGATCGGCGACACTTGGCCAAGCGCTCAATGAATGAAACCGAAATGAGAAATGAATGATATCATGGGCATTGTTAGCTCACACACAGGCACACGGCTGAGCTCGACACCGAAAACCCATCTTCTCGGTCTCTGTCCCATTCTCTTTCCCTAACCCTAACATAATCCTGTGCCCAGAGCCTGCGGGTCGCTGTCGATCCCATGTAGCGGCAAACGAGATCAAATGCGATAGCGCCACAAAACGAGCCACCAGCAGCCGCAGAGCAGCAGAAACGACATCAGAAGAGGCAGCCTCAGAAGACTGCCGTGCAACGTGTTGCTCATTTAGCAGGCAGGCCGAACGCGGCCATTATTCAAGGCTTTTGATAACTGCGTTAGGTTAGGCACCATCCCGACTCCGATCCGCTCCTCTCCACTCCACGCTACACTGTTCGCCACCGATCTGATCATTCCAGATCCGTACGACTGCGGCCCAGGATCGGCGCGCGTCACCACTTGGGCGACTGGGTACGAGGGACCCTGGCAACTCAGTCACAGTGACTAAAAATATAGTTGCCAGAGAATTAATATGGATAGACAATAGTATTCAATGGCTTGTGGTGAAAGAGTTTTTCTAAAATTCCCCGAATCCGATATATTTGTTGTAGATGCAATGCACTGTATTTTCTGTGTTTTCTTTTTCATTTCCGTAAAGTTGTTCTAAAATTGAATTGAGTTTGCAATGCACTGTCTTGTTTTCTTTTTAATTTCCATAATGTTGTTCTGATATTAAATTGAGTTTCTATGGCAGTATTCTTAGTGGCCTTGCCACACTGTGTCTGGGTCTGTGCCTCGGCTCCCTCCATCGTTTGCTTTTGTCGTACAATTTGATTTTGGTGTTTGCCTGGCGATTTGTTGTGTTTGATTTGCTACCTCGTTGTCTTCCTCGTCCTCCTGCGTCCTCTACCTGCTGCCTATCTTTGGAACTCCAGCCGCAACTCCACCCGCACCTGCCCTCGTTGTCTCTCTCTCTCTCTCCCTATCTTTCGCATTCCAGCCATCCCCCATGCCCCAGGGCCACGCAGCTTATATTGTTCGCCTTGTTTTGGGCTCATTCAAATCCTTTCGGTTAAATTCTTTTGTTTGGTGTCAAGTTTAACAAATATTTGAATGGTCGCATCGCAGCGGCAGTGGCCGCGGCCTCTTGTCTTGTTTGCCCCATGTTTCTCGCGTGTTGCTGCCGCATGTCATTGTTGTACTACCGCTGTCCCTGCCACACAGCCTGTCCCTTTTCTCCTCTCTAGAATGTTGGTGATGCCGCAGTGGCTGCTGCCTCATTGCATGACGACATGAGGGCGTATGACTAATCAGCTCCGCCTGCAATTAGTTTACCTTAGACAAGAAGAGCATAGTGGAGGACGAGGGCATTCTTAGCCAAGAGCGATATGCCTCATATGATTGCCCCCAAAAGTAGCACTGGCTCTGCCTGTTGCAGCTAGACTCCACCATTGTTAAAACTTCTTATCATTGTGGTGCTTTTGTCGTGGGACATTTTTGACTCCCCGCTGGGTGCACCACGCAAAATGCCATAAAAATTGCTGCTGCTGCTGCTGCTGCAGCAACAACAGTCTGCGTACCCTGGCTGTGAAGGTGGAGGATGGAGAACTCGGATGGCTGACCAAGATGGGGGACTTTCCACTGCAGCAGCATTCACAGCCTCGGCTCTCAGTGCAAGTCCGAGTCTATGTCCGACACTGCATCCGTAATTGTTTGTTTATTGTGGATTTCTGGTCGGGAGTTGCTGTCTCTGTCTCGGTTTCGGTCCCTCTGACTGTCTCGGTTATCGCATGCTTATCGATTGTTATTGTTGTTGTTTTTATTGTTAAATGTAAAAAAACTATACAATATTTATATTGGCATTGTTTGCACATCCACTGTCGCCACCAGAAACAGGGACTCCTACTGTAAGTCAAGATCGTACTTTGAATACCCTTTAATCGGCAGGAAGCTTCTGAAGCTGATATCGCTGCAACTGTCCATGAAGCATGAAGCACCGTCTGATATTATTTATGTAGGAGCACCGTCAAAGCTAGAATTTACGGATTCAAGCTATCATCCATTTTCGATTTCTTAAACGAATTTAATAAATGGCGAAGTGAAGTTGCTATGGGGTAGAGTACGCCCAGACCGATAGCCATCAGAAACACCCTCAGGCCTGCGCTGACTGGGAGCGCAGCAATGTGTGGCACAGCTGACACTTCAATGGAGATTCTGCGAGGGGATCGTTGGAATGGTGCAGCAGCATGCTGTGGCGCTATGCCGCGATTATGGTCACGGATTAACTTCCTATTTTAACCAGTTCCATTGTCGCTCCTGTGGATGCCATGGTAGCTTCTTGTGGAAAGTTTGTCCGATTGGACGTAGACACGACCCTTGGGCTTCATTACGAATGCGAGAGCGGCAAACCCTTGCCGCCTCTTAGGCGCGGTCGGCACCGCCTTCCGCTTATCGGGTGCGGGATTTCTGATAAGGAAGCTCCGGCATCGGATATGTGATGCGGATCCACGGCATGCCTAGAACTATGCAACGCGGATCGGCGCTTCGCTCTGGCACTAGCGGCAACCAACACGGATGCTGCTACCCACGAACAGATTTAACACACCACTTTATAACACCCGATAAATCAAAGCTTAATATTTTTTATGATTTTAATATCGCAAGGCAAAGAGACCTTTCGGCTTTTAGCTTTTGGCTCTTGGCTTTTGGCTAATCTCCCCTTTGGTTGCCGATACAACGACAAGGTTAGCCGTTCCAGAAACTGAATCTTGGGCTATTCCGCTGGCTCAGACTCAGAACCAGACCCAGCTCCAGTCCTTATCCTAATACGAAATCCTAACCCTCATGACATTGAGAAATGTGGCAAGAGCGGGGGGTTTGACAGGAAATGCTTTCTGATCGCTTACTTGGCCGTCATTCAGCTGCACATCCTCTCATTCTCTCCATGCGATCGAGCCATGCCGACACTCGTGAGCGAAAGACACTTTTTTACTCTACTATTGGCGTCGGCGTTGACAGTCGAGCGAACTTCTTCCAGTGGCGGCAAGTATAAACAGATCTGAGAGAAGCCCAACCATGCCCCGGGTCCGTGTTAATAGAAACATTTCGAGATTCGACAGAATAGAACAGAATAGAACAGAAGAGAACGTAAGAGAATATGGTAGATGAGAACTCCAAGCTAAGGTTGAGCGATAATTCTATGGAACTCCATAAAAATAGCTAAACGTGCAGGGGCCGCCCAGAACCAAGACCAACACTCAGAGCGCCTCTCCCTAAATTCTCCGACTCTGCTGCTCATTTCATTTCAATTGACCGACTGCTGCTGCATTCTTTATGGCCAGTTGGGAGAAAAGTCACTTTCATCTTTTTGAATAGGGAGCCGAACCTCATAGCAACGATCGAGGGCTGGATTGGTAAACGGCGAACACCCAGGACCAGGACTGATCAGCTGTGTGTCCTTTAATGTCTAAATTCCTGATGTGTCATACCGCCCAAGCCTGCCTGTGTGTTCGCTCAGAGTGATCCCTTTAGCCCATTGTCTGCTTACCTTCTAACTGTTTTGACCTTTCGCCCCTCACCTGATCCTTTCATTCTTTGGTAACTCCGTCTGTCTCTGCTTTGTGTGCGTCGTGTAAATATTTTCCCAGCATGTTGCAAACGTTTTGACAGTTTTTATTAGATCAAAAACCGACTACAAGTGGCGTGTGATAAATTGCGGCCAAAACGGAGCTAAGCAGAGATGGGCATACAGAGATAGAGATACTTGCACACACACGCACACAAATAAAGAGGGTCGGATAGAAATAGGAGAAAGATCAAGTGTCTTTCTCACTTGGCTTCCCATCCATTGTCTGGTAAGTCTCATGTCTTTTCCACACACACACAGACACACATACACACAAACACACTTTTCAGGGAGTGGTGGCAATTAGATGATCTATGTTTCGATTCAATTCGACCCCGTTCTGCATTTGGATTTGCTCTCAAGCTAAATTAATAAGCTTACCAAAATTTTGAGTCGAGCAGCATCTGCTGGGAAGAATTTGAGCCCCGAAAAGCAGTATGTACATGTGTATGTTTTCTTATGGTTATTGGGTATTGTGCGATTATTTGGGAAGATGAAGAGATAAGCAATAGGGACTTATCGGGATGAAAATACGATTAAAAACGCCCACCAACGTCCCAAGTGGTATCAATATTTGTTAGTGTCATCTTACTTTTCTCTGATGGTTGTTCCTGTAGGCAAGCTAATGAAATCCCTACTTCATACAACTTTTCGTTGGCATACTTTGCTTATACGTTCCATTAGACTATTTTTTTGTTACCATTCGATCTTTCTTGTGTTTAATCGCCCTCGCGTTTCAACCGATGGACTAAGCCCATCAAAACTCATATCTGAGAGCCTCGCTTGTCCAATTGATTGATTAACTTGCAACTCCTCACACCACCGGCACACTCACGGCTCAAATATGCAGCATCCCCAATCACCAATCCACGATCTCCACCCCGTCCCGATTCAAATCCCCAAATTCCCAATCGCTCACAGCAGGTCGGTGGAGTATAGTCAAACGAGAAGAGAAGTATACATATACAACAGAACATACTGTTTTTGGCCCCCAAACAATTCGGTTCTATACGAGCGCAAACAACAAATTTCAAGTGGAAAAGTTGCGCCTTTTTCAGGAGGACTATATGCTAAATTCAAGTGAAATGAAGAGAACGAAGGAGCACGTTAAGCGATGCCGGGAGTACCAGCGCAGCTTGCGCGAACAAATCGATGAGCTGGACCACTTAATGGACGACGACTTCTTTAAGAATCCCAGGCGCTGTTGGGCCCTACTTCAGAAGGAGCATCAGGAGCAATACTCGCAAAACGCTGAGCCGGCAGTCCAGTCTAGGAAGCTGCTTCTACATGAAGGTGGCCTAGAACCGAGCCATGGGGTGGGTTCACTGTTGTATGAGCTTCATTGATCAATGATTTCCTTTCCACTCTGCAGAGGAGCCAGAAGCTTAGTGGGACCATTTGGCGACTGCTTCATCCCGATCGCCCTAGCAGAGAAAATGGAGTGAGTGACCTTTGCCAAATACGGTGTCCTTCTAACTTCACTTCTTTTTTTCCCTAGAGTCGAGCCGCATCTCCGGTAGTTAAGCTTCGCCCTGAACTGCCTGCTAAAGGGTCAGACCCCCTTTCGGCTCTTACGCCGCGTCCATCGCCAGTGAGTATGTTCTTTTAGCTCAGCCCCAGCTTAACTATGGCATTGCAGTTTCATCCAAAATGCGACTGCGACTGCGACTGCGCCAACGCCCTTGAGAGCGAAGATTGTGGATCGGTGTTAGAGGTGTATCCGCACCCTAAAAGGTCTTCTAGAAGGAAGAGGATCGCTATTTAACGTAGAATCAGAGTCCAGTTCTCATTCTGCTCTCCTTATTATGTTATGTATAAGTTAATAATATGGCGGTAGGCTCTTTTGTCGTGGCTCAAACAAGGCACGGCCCAGGCCCAGGCTGACGCTTATTAAATGATTGAAGCCTTTCTGCCGCGGATAAAAGCGGGAGAAGGACGGTCAGGGTCTGGGGCTGGGTCCAAGCTCAAGCTGGGACACCCATAAAAAAGGTGGAAACCTTGTTCTTGCTTTGTGGTTTTTTTTTTCTTTGCGCAGTGAGCCACCAGAGCAGGCCCATTGAGCGACGACCACCATCAATAACAGACCACAACGATCTTGAGCTCCGACTATATTTATGATTTGTTAAGCAACGCCGAACGTGCGAAAGGATAATCACAAGCGCCTGTTGGCACGCCCCCCAATCCCCTAGCTCCAAGCCACTGACTTCGTCGTGTGTGAGACATTTCCAAAATTAAGTCAATGACTTTTATTTTTACGACTCTCCATGAAGCAGACGTCCGCAGACTTCGATGAAATGGGATGTGATGAGAGTGGGTTCCGTATCCAAGTCATCGCGATGCAGTGGGAGCTGGGCATGGAGATGGTCTTGGAGCGGCTCTGAATTTTACGGCAATGCGAATTGAGCTATTAGAGGGGGAGCAGGTATCGCTGATTGGCGAGGCATTAAGTTATGGACATCAAATCGGGGATTATCCAAGGGAAGACCTGTTCTACAATGATCAACATGGATTTTACCGAGACACGGACACTTGACCCAGCTCTCCCTTGCTCACCAATAACGTGCCACGCCCCATCCAGTGCCACCCAGATGGATTGACATCGCTGAGAGGTGATCGCCGATCCTCATCGTGTCCACTCATCGCGATCACTGCGCTGCATAATCGACATCAATTATGTACTACAAAATTGTACAAATCATTATCCCATCCTTCTTTAAGTGTTTGTCGCTCCGTCTTTTGTTTGCCCCTTCCCCGGGAGCTGTGGAAGGCAAAGGGGCGGAAGGGTCAGAGGCAATGGCGGATGGGTAGAGTACCTTCGAGAATCGCACATTGTCCAGCTCCTGTCGAGGGCTCGAGAGCAGTTTGACGCGCTCGAAGGATAAGCAACTTAAGTCGAGTATCCATTGGGGGGGGGGTAACTCCTTATAGTAAAGCTCTGCTAACATTCCTGGCCTGAAGCTTGAAGCCCTGCTCGGCTTCTATAATGAGCGCCGGCTTATCAATGCCTGAATGGGCCATGGAGCTGGAATGATTGTGACTAAATCCACATCCGCAGTTCCAGTCCCAGGCTCATGTCCAGTCTGATTGTTAACCTTTGAATCGGGACATTAAAAAACGTTAACAAGCTGCGTAGCGCCGTCGGCGGCGTTAATGTCGAAATTGGCGCTGGATGCGGAATGACTGGTGGGGCAGTGAGCCGCGCGCCGCGAGTAGGAGGGTACTGCGACCGGGACGAACGTGTTTCTTAATGAAACAAAGCTTGAATTTTAAATGAGCATCATAAAGAACAATGAAAATGCAGAGAACAGCAACAACAAAGCAAAACTTGGCTGAAAGCCGGCGATCATTGGAGGACGGGTTGGACAGTGGTACAGTAGGACAGGGGATTGAGAATGCTAAAACAGACAGCGCGAAATAAAAGCGCAGAAATGTTAAATAAACAATAAAAAAAAACAGTCCGTACTCCCGCCCCAAGACCCTTACCCCATCTCCATTTCCATCCCCCCTTCCCATTCCGATCCCTGTGACTGGAGTCTGTCAAATGCGCACGAAAGAAACTCTTGGAGCGAATTAACCCTCTGCCCGCGAGACGCTCGTTGGATATGGATGGGACCCGATCTGATCCACAAGAATGCCCGAGCAGTTACCGACTTGACACGTCGACTAGGGTAATACCCTGCGAAAATCAAAGCGGAATCTTGGGAAGAGATTAGGGCCCCATGCAGTGGACCCCAACCAAAAGCAGCACCAGAGGTGTAGGACTTTTGGCCGCCGCTGCTGCTTAAAGGATTCACAAATGATTTTTCGGTCAGAGATGAAACGGGATCCAAGCCTGAAGCCTGCGGGCTGGAGGGTATCAGTGTAGGTGGGCGATAGTTGATTCCCTGGTGCTGGCCATAATTGGTGCTCATCTTAATGGCATTAAAATTGCATTATCGCCGTATTTATTGAAACGGTTTGTTTTAACAAGATTAACTCGATGATACCGTCGACCGTTCACCGACAGCCGGCACGGCAACAACGAAGACAGACCACAAAATGATTAACAGCAAAAGCCGCCGCAAACGGAATACGAAAAGAAAGACAACAAAAAATCAAGGGGAACGTTGTGAGTCTCTGCTACGGCCGCGACTCTACATTTTTACCCGATACTCAGTCAGCATTGCTCAATCTGCCAGATGGCGCACACATTGTACTAAGAAGAGTTTGTGAGAGAGAGAGAATGAGTAAACGAGAGGCTGGGTTTGCGTAGCAAATGCGAATTGATTTGTTCCTTCTTGCTTTAATAATAATCTGATCTGATCCAGATGCTGCAGTCTAAACGATAAAGCCATTTTCTACGATTCTGCGTTTTTGGTTGATGCCACAGAAAGGGGCGTGACAAAATTTTGAAAAAAACTTGATTCATTGTGATACTACAGCAGTTTAAATCAAAATTTCGTTTCTCTAGCTCTTATAGTCTCTGAGTACTAGACAGACGGACGGGCAGACAGATAGCCGGACGGACAGACATGGCTCTATCGATTCGGCTATTGATGCTAATCAAGAATATATATACGTAATGGCTGGGCGTTGCACACATCTATATTCCCCAAAAGTCTAATATACTCCTATACTCATTTTTAGTATCCGGTATAAAAATTAAAAACGAAAAAAACTGTATGGAGGAACACGATCCGAAAACAGCGCTGAGAGACGAGATATTTATTCCGCTGTTGTCGCTTGATTGGCCCTTTTCATTATTGTATCTCCTGTTGTTATTGTTGGTGCTGCGGGGTTATCAAATATTTATAATATAATTTCAAATCATTCTTATATGATTAGATTTAATATTTTTGCTTCCATGCACACAAGCAAGCACAGAAATAGGAACAGCCACAGCAGAAAGATACATTTGTGTTTTTAGGCTTTTCTGTGTATCTATTTGTCCGCACATTTATCACACCGCTGCCATTGTTGGTTGGTCTTTTGTGTGGACAGAGATTTGAATGGTAATTTGATTGATTTTGGCTTGGACCTCCGATTGGAGAGACTCAATGGAAGGACACTTTAGGGTTGAGTCAGGGCTTCACGGGGGCATTCTGAGAACCTAGTCTGCTCCAATCGATCGATGATCCCATTCCTGCCACCCTTCCAAACTTCCGGGAACACCACATAATTATTATTTATGCATACAAATTAAAAGCAGTGTGAAATATTGCGCAAATCCACTCAAAGCGTTTATTTGTGGCACCTTTTGAGTTCCCACCAAGAGCCAGAGCCAAATTTCAGACCGCTCTCTGCTTTCGGTATTTCATCAGGCTCCGCAATGCGGAATGCGTCGGCCGCTCACAAATCGAGGGAAGCGATAATATTATGGAAAAGCGTTAATATTTGGGGGCTGGACCCAGTCACTTTCCACTTCAGAGCTTCCAACTGCTGTTAGAACACTTAAACGTTTTTGGGGGATAATCCTTGAGCATCATCTTGCAAGTTGCAGAATTTTTGTACATGTAAAAGCCGCTAGTCCCATGTTCGCCATTCTCAACAGGCAGCTCATAACGGAAGTTGCAGCAGTGGAAGTGAAAAGTGTTACTTTTCCCACAATTTTTTCCATTGAGTGTGCGACAAGTAACATACGAGTAAGAAGTTGTTTAGCATTTTTGAATATATGTACTATCAGCCAGGCTCCTCAATATACCTATATTTGAGAGGAATTATCTGAAAGAATACTCATAGATATGGTAATATAGCCAAAGAGAACTTGTTTCATCATTCGGCTGTCTAATCGTAATCCAATTTGCTGGGTAAAAAATATATATGACGAGGGGGAACGTTGCGAGTTGCTGCTGCGACCGCACTTCTACATTTATGCCCGATACTTAGTCAGTATGGCTCTCCTCCTGCAGACGGCGCTAGCATTGAACGAAAAAAGGTGGGCGCTGCATAGCGACCGAAAGTTAATATGTTACTTTTGTCTATAATTACAATCGGATCTGATAATTTTGAAATACACTTGTAACAGTGATATATCACAGAAGTCTGTATAAACAATATCGGTGCTCTAGTTCTTATAGTCTCTTAGCATTAGGCATAGGGATGGACGGACGGACAGACAGACTTGGCTCTATCGACTCGGCTATTGATGCTGATCAAGAATATATACACTTATACTCTCTAGAAGGAATTCTAGACGTTACACACATCCATTTTTATCAAAAATCGAATATACCCCTGTACTCATTTTGATTATCGGGCATACAAATTTTAAACTTTTTAACAATTCAATTTACTAGATATAATATTAACCCAGGATTCTTGTATAGCCTATAGTAGGGGTATCTTAGATACCCAGAATATCACTGGGATCTAATGATGGCTGTTCGATTATCCCCTGACATCTCAACAGCTGTCGTATCTGCTCCAGACCGACCTGCGTAATGTGTCGCCACCTGATCGTGCGTCAGAGTTGACAATTAAATAAATTGCATTCTAATGCGGGGCTCGAATTCTATAGGGGAATTGCGATTTATGACCGCCGGATGACCAGGAACTTGGCATTGCAATTGGTTGTCGTGTTATTGGTTGTGCCTTGCTCAATTAAAGTTATTGCCTCCCGAATAAATGTCATGACAAATAACTTAATTAAGCAAAGGCCCAGGCTTAACGGACGAGCCCTCTAGTTACCCATGTGGGCGCTAAGCGGATTCGATAAGCGGATCGGCAGTCCAGTCGTTCGACCTTGTTGCATCAGCCACTACGAGTACGAGTGCAGGTATTTCTGTTAATCAGCAAAGGATTTACTGCACTTGGTAGCTGTTTTACTCGCCCTACTTTGCCCTGCCCTGCCCGCCTACAAATATAGCTGCTGGAGCAGCGCTGACTCATCAGGTGGTTGTCCCGCATACCGACACAGTTTGATTGGCAATCTGA